GTCAGAGCTGTGTGACTGCCCCCTCACAAAACTTTTCGTTAGGTTTCCAGTACTCTTAAGATCAAGTCAAAATCCTTGAATGGCCTACAACGCCTACATGGTCTGTCCTCTCCCTCTAATTTTTCTCTTACCACTTTTCCCTTGAATCTGTTTCTAGATGCATCAAGCTTCTTCCCACCACGTGGCCTTTGCATGCGTGTGTACTTTGCCTGAAACATTTCTGTTTCCTACTCTCTTTTCCTGACCAATTTTATTACATATCATTTCCACAGGAGACTCCCCTGACCACCCAGACTAAGTCAGCCCCTTCTAATGTACATTCTCACAACTTCCTGAACTTTTCCTTTATAGCACGATTGCGTATAAATAGTTGTCACAACTGCATGTAAATAATTATCTAAGTGTATCTCAGATAATGGCATGGCCCTGTATTGTCCATCACAGTATGACATTCCATTCAAGAGGACAGTCCTACATTCAAAGGGTGACTTAATTAAAATCATTACTCAGTCTCTAAAGGGGAGTGGGCTGGAAAGGGCAAACATATTCTTAATGTCCAGCAAGACATACTAAAACCTTTTCCCCCTTTGTCTCTGCCACTCTCAATAACAGAGAATGCAGCTGTGCCAGAATTTGCTTAGCAGATGGGGATGGGAAAGAGGTTGCAAATACACATGTTTGTAATTCTTTGCCCTGCTTGTCTAATGTCTGGCTCCTGACATGACTGTGATCTCTCAGAGGGAAGGACCCCATCTGTTTCAAACACTACCATAACCCCAGCAGCTAGCATGGTGTCAGGCACATAGCAGATGCTCAGTGAATATTTTTACTGAATGAATGTCAAGCCTCTGACAATAACAGGCTGACACTCTTCTTCCAACAGCGAGAACTACCTGGTACGATGGGGCAGCAGGGGCTTTCCGAAGGAGATTGAGATGCTGAACAACCTGAAGGTGGTCTTCACGGTGAGTGTGCACTCTCTTCTCATCACCACGTTCCACACTCACAAGGATGTGATATTGGAGATGAGGGTGGTCTGTTGGTCAGGATGGAGCATGGCCCTGGTGCAGAGCTGTGTTCTAGGCTTTATGCAGAGGTTCAGAGCTGACAGAGGACATTGTGTACCCTGAGGAAGCTTTTGGGAAGATGGATCTTCTCCTCCTCTCTCTTTCTTCCTCCCTTCCTGTCTTTCTTACTTCTGTACACTGAGAACACAGGCAGAGTGCTACAGAAACAAGCACAAACCTCTGAGCAATAATGCCTAGGTGAACTGGGTACAGCAGCTATTTTGATTTTCCAATTAATTCATGGCTAACCCTAGCTCCTTTCTTTGGTTTAGGCCTTTCTGAAAACCTTTCTAAAATATAACAGAAAAAATAATTGATCTTTTTCTAGAACATTGACTGCCTTGGTAAACTGGGTATTTGGGAATGATTAAGTCACAGATGACTAAAGATCTGGTGGGTTCTTAAGACATCCTTCTAAATGCTGTACACACTGGGAAAGACTTATATGTAGAAATGTTGAAATCAGTTGTTGTTTGGATGATTTATTTTTGAGGGTAAACCTGGCTTTTTAGTTCTGAATCGGGAAAACGGTGGAAAGAAAGAGAAAAATAAGGGTTAAAGTTTTCAGCAGAGACCTCTCTGTTGTCCTGTTTTCACAATGTTGTGTTAAAAATGTGATCTTAAGACATCTAAGGATATTAGTATTGTCTGCAAGCTCCTTTGGGGAGAAGACCATTTATGAGCTTTTTCACTAAATTGCCTGTATTAGCAAGGGAAATTACAGAGGAGCCAAGGAGGGATTTGGGCATTGACCAAACTGATGGGTTTGATCCAGGAGTGACCAACATGCTAGATTAACCTACCTTGCTCTACAATCATTGTCCAGTTACAGCCCATTAAGTGCAATGTCTAATGTTACATTGTGATTAGATTGGGGTATAGCTGATTTATTTTGTTTGTTATTTCCTGAAAAACGGGCCAGAGGCATGGAATAGAATCATAGTTCCTAATTGCTTAGACAAAGTTTTCTTGACATATATAAATGTACTTCAATTGTGTTTATCTATTATTAGTTAGAAGGAGGAGACTATTTGTTTTCATGATAAATAAGAGAGTCCCATGGGGCTTCCTGATTAAACCACGAGACAGATGTTTCATGAGATCGAGAAAGACAAGGAATCAATCAGTGGGGCATTTTGCAGAGAAGCAATTGGTGATATAACATGAAGGAAAGGGCATCAGTAAATTTGTGTCATGCAGTATTAATGAAAATGCGATCCCGCCTTCATGGATTTTGCCTGTGCCATACACAATTCTCAGAACAAGTGAATTTGGGAACCTTGGTTGTTTGGTTCAACAGGCTGATGCTTCCCTCTCTTGAGATGATCTGAGTCTTCCTTTCAGGACAAGGAAGGTCATGGTGCTCTCACTTCTTGTACTGATTCAAGAGCTATCCAGTGAGTACCTACTGTGTGTCAGTTCTGTGCTGGGAGCTGGTGATACAGCAGAATAAGGTGAGGAGGCCCCTCCCCTCCTGGTGCAATGGAGAAGGGAGGATTCTGGTTGTAAATAAACGAATGAATAAATGAGAGCAATGTTGGAAAGCAATCTAAGCAATACAGATAATTAACAGAGTGATGTGATGGCATTTGACTGGAAGTTACTTTCAACTGGGTGTCAAGGTGACGTTTAAGGGAGAGATGAGATAAGACTTGGCAGGCATGTGGCTTGCTGGCCTTATTTCTCTCCTGTCTGGATGTTAGCTCTTTCTAGTTTCCTCTTAGGGGGCAGGTCTCCAACTCATTGAGCCTGAGGAGCTGGCACTTGGGTCTGGCTCATTGTTGACTTTCCCTCTGTCTGCCTTACATGTTCATTTTTCTCAGCCCTATAAGAGCAAAGCAGCATTTACCATGAGGTTCCCTAAGATTTAGCCCAGTTTAGAGGTTGCTGCTAACATGCAGGACACAAGAGTGAACAATAAAAGGAGTAGTAATGAATTACTAAACCAAGTGACACTTGTTTCAGGTTCCATTGTCCTGCTTCCCCAGTACATTCAAGTTTTGTAAGGCCAAAGTAGAAATGACTGGAGACACCACACTCTGGAGCACAATTCTGAGTGAGACCTGCCCAAATACACACCCTCCTGAGAATAACCTGTGCTCAAGCATTTTGCTGTAGTTTACATAACATTAAGATCCTCTGGTGCCAGGAGGTCTCCAATGAGGCAGCTCTTAAAGATCTGATATTTTCCTTTGAGCAAGTAAAATCTTTTCAGAGAGATGGAATGTGGGCTTATCTAGGAATCTTACAGGTTTATCTGGTGTATTAGTTTGTTTGGCCTGACTGCTATAACAAAATATCACAGATTGGTTGACTTAATTTATTTTCTCAAAAGAAATTTATTTTCTCACAGTTCTGGAGGTTAGGAGTCTTGAGATCAAGATGTCAGCAGGGTTGGTTTCTTCTGAGCCTCTCTCCTTGGTTTGCATATGGCCATCCTGTCCCTGCGTCTTCACCATGGTCTTCTCTCTTGTGTGTCTGTGTCCTAATCTTTTCTTCTTATGAGGACACCAGTCATATTGCATTTGGGCCCACCCGAATGACCTCATTTTAACTTAATTACTTCTTTAAGGACCCTATCTCCAAACGCAGTCATATTCTGAGGTACTAGAGGTTAGGACTTCAGTATATGAATTTTGTGTGTGTGTTGGGGGTCGGGGGAGAGGGACATGATGCAGCCCATATAACAACTAGGAACCTTTCAGGTGCCAGGGCCTCTGTGGCTCTGGAATGTCTCTGAAAGACACCAATTTCAAAATATTTCAAAAATAAGAATAATCCTAACCAGAAGAAAGAAGTAATTAGGGTCGAAGGTCATTAAAAGGAAGCAGGATTTGAGTTTTTAAGGATGAAAAGGATTTGGATATATAGAGGAATAAAAGGTAAGTATTTGAGGCAGAGGTATAGGAGGGGGGTGGTTAGGAAGAAAGATCGGAGTTGAAAGTGAGCCTTGTGTGTTTGTGGAGCAATAAAGAAATCTTTGTGACAAAAATAGAGTACTTGCATGCAGAGGATAGTGGGGATCAGTTGGATAGGACAGCTGGATGTATTATGTCTAGGCTTTTTTACATCAACTGGAAAAGATTAGCACTAATAAGGTAGGAAATAGGGAGCTATTGACATTGTGGGGGGAAAGAAATGAAACAGTAGATGTGGCTTCTAAAGATGAGTTTGTAGGAGCTTTCAGGATGGATTGGAAGAAAGAGTCAGGCAGGACAGAGGAGAGGCTCTTTCAGCCATCTGCATGTGAGATCATTGGGATCTCAGACTCAGATGTCTACAGCAAGGCACGGATGCAAAAGGGAGGGGCTCCTAACCTGAAAGCCCCGCTCCCCTTCCTCTCTCCCTACAGCAGTGAGACCTTGGAAAGGGGAGAAGTAGATGCCCCTTCCTCCAGCTGGTGAAAAGACGGTCCTTGTATCAGTCAGTGTTCTCCAGAGAAACAGAACCAAAAGGTTAAGTGTTTGAAATTTGTAGGGCAGGCCGGCAGGCTGGAAGCTCGGTCAGGACTTCTGCACTAGAGTCTTGAGACAGAATTCCTCCTTTTCTGGGAAACAGTTTTTGCCCTTTAGGCCTTCAACTGGATGAGGCCCATGGACATTATGGATGGTTATCTCCTTTATTAAAAGTCAGATGATTGTAGGTGTTAGTCAGGTCTACAAAATACCTTCACAGCAACATCTACACTAGTATTTGACCAGTCATCTATGCACCATAGCTTGGGCAAGTTGACACAAAAAATTCAACAATCACAGACCCCAAGCAGGAAGGTCTGGACTGCATGGGGGCCTTGCCTTATTCCCAGAGACTCTGCATACCCCGCTCCCTTCCTCCCACACGAGCCACAGTGCAAGGCTGGGGATGGCTGCTTTGCTTGGGTCCTGGCCTGGATGTGAGCTTATAGCTCCTTCCCAGTGTATATGCCCACATGGGTATTAACTTGGAGCAGAAGAAGCTGTTTCCTAGCAAAGGCAGGCCCAGAGTTCTCTGCTCTGATGCCAATAGCAAGCCTCGTTGTTCCTTCCCCTGCTTATCCCAGTTGGCAGGGGGCCCCCAAGAACACTGAAGCTTTAGATTTGAGCAAGGAAGTCAGATGCTGGGGTACGCAGGCTGGTGTTCCCTCCTGTGTGAGTTTCTGATGGCGAGGCAGCTACATTGCAGTAGCTATGTTTGTGGTGTTTGGTGTCAGAGTGACTGGTCTCAAAGCCCAGTGTCTCCAAGGATTAAGGTTGTGACCTTGGGGAAACCCCTTTTCTTCTTTTTGTCTCAGTTACCCCATCTGTAAAATGGAGATCTACTTAAAAGAGTTGTTGGGAATGAAATGATACAATAATGTAGGAGCCACTCAGTACAGTGCATGACACATTAGTGTGGTTCACCAGTTTCAGCTTTCCTCCTTCTAAACATGTTACCAAGACCCCAAAGATCCGTTTGCTCACTGCCCAATAGCCAATAAACGAGAGCCAAGTGTTGGTGTAAGGAAAGGTGGCCTTTAATCAGGAAGCTGGCAGCCTGGGGAAATGGTAGACTTATGTCTCAAAGACCATCTCCGTCTCTCCCAGGTTTGCCAAAGGGTTTTATAGGGGTCTGTGGTGGAAAGTTGATTCATGGTGACCAATTGGGAATGTGCAGACATGCTTGAGTGTTTCAGATAATCCTCAAGGAACTTCCTGGGTGGGAGCTGACCAGTGTCATACTTCATTCTCCATGGGCTCAATTACTGTTATTCTCAAACAAAATCAGGTTAGTAAGCTAGTAAAGAATGGCTATCTGGGTTAATAATTTTCCCTCTAATTGTTTGTGTATAATGTGAGAGCAAGAGTCATTGTGTTCTGGCAATTAGCTGCAGGCTCTGTGGTTTGGATTATAGGAGAGAACAAGTTTTTAAATTCAAAGGCTTAACAAAATGGGGTCCTTTCTGTTCAGGCTGTTACAAAAACACACAGGTGAGTGCAGCACCCCACCCTGTTGAGGTTAGGTGTGACCATGTGCTTTGCTTTGACCAGTGAAATGCTAGCAGGAGTGGTTTATGCCTCTTCTGGGTGGAATCTTTGAGCCAAGATGTGATTTGTCACAGTCCCTTCCCCTTCTACTGGGACAGATGAAGCCAAGTGTCTGATAAATCTGTCAGCCAGGGGCCCAGAGGGAGTAAGCAAGCAGACCGACCCACCTGCACTGGAAGTAAATGTCTGCTGTGTTGTGAGCTCTGAGATATTGACATCATTTGCTACTACCGCAACCCAATGGATACATGCACTTTAAGTGTTCACTAAATGGTAGCTGTTATTATCTTCCCTTCTTCCTTTTTCCTTCTCTGTGTAGAAAATGTTATTTTGGGGTCCATCACCTGGCATATAGGGAACCCTGCCTGTACAACTGGTATTGCACTTCCAGCCTTCTCTCTTCCTACCAGTTTGAGGTGGAAGAATTGGAATGGAACACTAGAGTCCTGTCACTCAGTGTCCTTTCCAAACCTCACCTTTCTTATCTGTGAAATGGGAGCAATAGCCTTGTTTTCTGCCTCTTCCAGGACTAATTGTGTGATTGGTGCGTGTACACCGAGCATTAAGCATGTGCCTCGGAAATTACTATTACTAGGTTTTCTTTTCTACTTTTTTTTTTTTCAACTCAGCACATGTGTGTAACTTATTTGTTTCTTGCCCTATAGGATCTTGGAAACAAAGACCTCAACAGGGATAAAATTTACTTGATTTGTCAAATAGTCCGGGTTGGGAAGATGGATCTTAAGGATACTAATACAAAGAAGTGCACGCAGGGACTGAGGAGGCCCTTTGGGGTGGCAGGTAATGACACACTCCACACCATCACCTTTTTATATGGCCATGTTCTAAGGATGATTTCTTTCTCCCCTCCTCCTGCTGCCCCCACGGCCCTGCAAAATTTATGCCAGACAGCCCTTAATAACTACATTTCTGGTGACTAAATCGAAATAATTGGTGACTAAGTCCAGATTTATGATGAATGCAGTGAATAATGCGATCCTGGTGTCTGGAGCTGAGCGCTGGGGCACGGTGCCGTCTGAGCAGTTGGCGCCTTCGCTCCCCAGTGCTGTGAAAAAGGAAGAACAATACGGACAGGATCTAATTATGAGCAGCAAATCATTAAAAAAAAAAAAATCCAGGACAGGAAATGCAGTTACACAGAGTGAGTCACCCAGCATACATCTAGACTCCAGATGGAAATGGACATTTGGAGAGCAGGCATGGCCGGTGGAGTCCCAAATGAGGCCACCGTAGAACAACATCAGCTCTGCGTGCTTCTCTGAGCTCTAGCTCCCTTGGGGTTTCCCAGGCTTCAGCATCTTCATCCTACTTTAATGGTTTTTGTTATATGTGACTATCACCTGCGCTATTATTTACCTAATATATTTTCTTCTAATCAACCCACTTTGCTTAAACTAAAGTACATTTTTCTTAAAAGACAATTTAAATACCTGTGAACACAGCAGTTTGATATGACAGTTTTATTCTTTTTTATTAAAATATAAAATTTTAATCGTGTGCCGTTTATAATCCCTGTGTACCGTATTGAAACCCAGTGTTTCAGGGTCCTCACTTCGGGCTGTCCTGATCTTCTGCCGTTGCAAAGCTGCTGGCTCTCCAGCTAGTTCCCTGGCACTTCTTGTACATTGGTGGACTGGAAGACATTAGTTATACTGAGCTAGTTGGTTTTTCAACCTGGTATTGTTCCTAGCTAGCCAGCCAGGTGATCTTGGACAAGTATTTTCCCCAGAGCCTTAGTTCTATTGTATGCAAAATGCGGGACTTGGTTGGGCGTGGTAGATCCATGAAATCCCTTCCTGCTCGAAAATGCTCTCATTCTATATGTGGGACACTCCTGACATCGCAGTGTTCCTGTTAAGGCAGTGAGGGCCCTCCAACCTTACCTCAAAGTGTGCCTTTGTCCTCAGCTGAAGCCTTACCTCTCTTTTGGTAGCCAGGTGATCTTGGACAAGTATTTTCCCCAGAGCCTTAGTTCTATTGTATGCAAAATGCGGGACTTGTTTGGGCGTGGTAGATCCATGAAATCCCTTCCTGCTTGAAAATGCTCTCATTCTATATGTGGGACACTCCTGACATCGCAGTGTTCCTGTTAAGGCAGTGAGGTCCCTCCAACCTTACCTCAAAGTGTGCCTTTGTCCTCAGCTGAAGCCTTACCTCTCTTTTGGTGTCAGGTGACAGAGATACTACACTGAAAGAAGTAAAAAAACAAAACAAAATAAGGATACTTTATTTACTGGTATTACTTAAGGGTTTAGGGATAGATTGCTTCAGGCATAGCTGGATCCAGGAACTCACAAGAATTTATGTTTCTCTCTCTCTAAGCTTCTATGTCCTCATGCTGGCTTATTCTGAAGATGGCTCTCCAGTTAGCTGGCAAGATGTTGGTCATCTGTTCTAAGCTTGCATCCTACCAGTGGAAAGAAAGTACCTCTTTTCCATTAGTTTGAGCAGAAGCACCAGGAGCTTAAATATAGGTCATGTGCTCATCTCCAGAGCATTCACTCTGGGCAGGGGGATATGATTTTCTGATCCACCAGGCCAGATTGTAGATCATATGAACAACTCTGGAGCCAGACAGAGATTGCCCCACCCAAATCACAGGCACTGAGAATGGGTGAGGAGGGTCTGTTACTCAGGGAAAATGGTAGATCAAATGACAATTCCTCTTCCTCTCTGCTCCCTGACTCCCCGCTCTAGCTAAATGCAGTGTGAGATTATTACCCAAGAAATTTTAACGGCTCCCTGACCAGGGCCTGGAATATTAAGGGTAAAGGTATTTTATGTGACTAGGGTTTGGCCTCTATTTGAGTAGCTTTTTTTCAGCTCTTCCCTCCAGCTCCCCCATTTCTATAACCTCCATTCTAGCGTGGGAGTTTTTTACCTCGGTTTTATGGATCTTTAGTGGCTGATTTAAGGAGAGGTTTCAGAGGAGCCAGGATCCCTTTGGAATTGCAGGGTTCAAGGATCCTACAATTATGTGTCTATGTATATGAACATGTTTCTGAAAAGAGGGTGAATATTGCATGAGATTCTCAGATCCCAAAGGGAGTCACTGCAATGGGTGTTGCAGGCACCGTTGATACATATGTGTCGGAACCTAACTGCTCAACTCCATAGCCACTGTTCGATTCTTTCCTTTTGGCCTCTGCTAAACCATGGGGCCCTTGGATGCTTCCCCGGCCTGCTGCCTTCCCAGCCTGCTTTGCCCAGAGGCGTGCTTGGAACGTTCGCTGTCTGTGTGTTGTCCGATGCTGGCTCGCTTGCCTTTTTAGGCTGTCCTGATCCCCAGGCATCCCTTGCCTTACCTCCTGTCTTATAATCTCACCCACTTGTCGTTCCTTCCTAGGAGCAGGGGGGAAGTTCAACCATTAATTCATTTCTCTTTGCTTTGCAGTTATGGATATAACAGACATCATTAAGGGGAAAGCAGAGAGTGATGAAGAAAAGCAGCACTTCATTCCTTTTCACCCGTAAGAGATTTCCCATTTCTTTCTATTCTCTTAAACTGCACCCTTTCTCACTGAGGGCCACTGAGCGCACAGTGAACTGGTTCCTTGAGTTAGTGATGGGCAGGTAGGGCCTTCCAAGAGGATGGCAGCATGAGAACGGTCAGCTCAGTGCCAAGGCACTCAAAACCAACCAGCTTTTCACCCACTCACTCATCAAATGTTATTTATTCAACAGGCTTTTGTTGAAGGCCTGGCAAGGGGCTGGCTCTGTGCTAGGCGTAGGTGATGAAGTGATGAAAAGATTGACATGGCCCTGTCTCCACAGAGCATATAGTGTGGATGGGGAATTAAACAGATGCACAACAAAAGATTAATTACAAGTGTGACAGGATCCAAGAAGCTGCAAAGAAACAGCATATCAGGAAGATGTCACAGTGCACCTTAACCTGGTTCTCATGGGTAGACTTATCCATGATGGGAGGAGGCCAGTGAAGAGGGAAATGTCCTTTCCTTGCCCTAAAAGGAGTCTTTGAGAAAGTGGGACTCCTCATTTTGGAGCATTGTCAGGACTTAATAAGCACAAGGATGGTCCAGCTAATGAGGCCAGTGACTCCGGTTGAGGCATGTGATTAGGACTTTGCAAGAGCAACTAAAGTCTTTGCCACCTTGCTGAACACATACTCATGTTGAGGGCTTGGGAATCCTTCCTTTTTAAGAGTCTTCCTAGGGAATAGAAATGGCCTCTACTTGTAGCATTGGTATTCAGGGCCACATTGCTTTGTGAAAAAGAGCTCTGTGCTTCTTGATGGCATCCGTGTTCTCTGAGCTGGCAGACAGTCTCACTTTTCACCTAAGGCTGGGGATCTCCCTGGAGCACCTGGGACCTCATGGGGTTGGAGACTGCACGAAGGCACTACATGCACATTTTGTGCTTCCTTTTCCTTTCCAGGGTCACAGCTGAAAATGACTTTCTACATAGCTTGCTGGGCAAAGTCACAGCCTTCAAAGGAGACAGTGGAGGGCAAGGTACAGTGCCAACGTGCAGGGTGGGCTGCACCTGCTCCAGCTTGGGAGCCCCTGACTCTTCAGTAAACAGATCAAAATCCTGAACGCTTCAGAACTTAGCCTTCCAAGCCTCCTGGGAAGAATGGGAGCATGTGATATTTAGGGATGGAAAACACCTCTCCTGAGGCACATTGGAGGCAGATCCCAAAGGAAGAAAGGAATTGATATACCTTGAATAGCTCCTGTGTGTCAGGCACTTTAATAAGTTCCCTTGTTTGGTTTCATCCTTACCCCAGTCCTGTGAGATAGATGGTATCATCCCCACTTTAGAAATCTGGGCTTAGAGAGGTGGATAGTTTTCAGAGGCTGATGCTGCTAAAAGTAACTGGTGGAATTCAAACCCAGAGGTGTCTCGCTCCAGAGTCTCCCGGGCTGGGTCACTGCATCTATGGTTGTGTGTCTTGGCTTCCAGTGGTCTACCCCAGAAAGAGACAGAGGGGAGAGATGGTGGGAGGGTAGACCTGAATAAGTTGGCTCTTTATGGTGAATATTCCCTTCCAGGTCTCTGGGTGACCATGAAGATGCTGGTGGGTGACATCATTCAGATCCGCAAGGACTATCCACACCTGGTGGACAGGACCACAGTGGTGGCCAGGAAGCTGGGCTTCCCAGAGATCATCATGCCGGGTAGGACACAGTTGTTCTGATCTTCCCTGAGGGGAAAGAGGGGGAGGTGGGAATTCAGTTTATCTAATCCATTTTCTAACAATTAACTCCTTCCTTTTTTACTGCCTCTTTCTATCTCTCTCCCTGAAGGTAACCACTGAAAATGATTTTTGCATACCTAAAATCTTCTACACATTTACAAAATAAACACAAACACATAAATACATGCACAAGCACTTTTTTCCCCACGAATGGGATCACACTTTATACAGTTTATACACTCTTACTCAATATCCTTTATATAGTGTTTTGCAACTTGCTTCATTACTTCATAATTTATCATGGACATAATTTCTATTTTACTACATGTAGAACCATTCCATTCTTCTGTGGGAATATTGTCATCCTTTTAAATTTTCAAGCTATTTTTTTATTACCAGAGGAATCCATGCTCATTGTAAAATATTCAAATAGCTTGAAAAGGTATAAAGTGAAATGTTAAAAGCTCCCTCAAATCTTTGTCTCCAGAAGTAACCGCTACTACTAACATTTTCCAAATGTGTACGTAATAAAAGAAAAATGAGGGAGATTACATGATAACACTCCTTTGAAACTTTCCTTTTTGTCTTAAACCTATGTCTTGGACTTCTGTCTATGACCACTCAGTGACTCAGTCTTTCTTTCCAGTTGTATGCGGTCCACAGGTCACCTCTACTGTCATTTATCTGTCCCCGCATTCATTTTTTTCTTTTCTTGTTTTCTTTTTATTATTATTATCATCACTTTTCTTTTGTACCTGCTTCGAGTCCTCAATTCTCCATGCATTCTCCTGTGGAATTTCCTATTCTCTCCCCTCTCCCCCACACCCCCCCGAAGATTCTCTGCACCTCATTCCTAACCCTATGTCTCTAGGACACATGGAGAGTTGCTTCCGTACAATAAAAGATGCTTGGATGTATACATTTAGTTGTTATTCATCGGATCAATTCAAGTGGAGCTTTCCTTTGCCTTCCCAGAAGGTGTCACTAGAGGATGGAAATTAAATGATTTTAATGCAGAGAAAAACATGGCCAGTTTTGACGACCCTACTCCCTTTTTGCAATGGATTTCCTAATGTCCCTTTATCCCCTTGTTACCTACTTCTGCAGCCTCCCTGATGAAGTAAAAAATGCTCTTTCCAAACAGTTCTGATTTAAATCTCATTACCAGCCATCTAGATGGGGCACTTCCTCTCGCTCTCCCTCTCCTCTGGTTAGTGTCTCTCTTGTTGCCATAGATTCTGATTCTTGTCTCTCTCTCTCTCCACCCCAGGGGATGTCAGGAACGACATCTACATTACTCTCTTACAAGGTGACTTTGACAAGTACAACAAGACCACGCAGAGGAACGTGGAAGTGATCATGTGTGTGTGCGCTGAAGACGGCAAAACACTGCCCGTAAGGGACTCGGCTGTTGCTCTGGGGGACAGGGTCCCTCTTGGGGGCCTCTGCTCAGAAAGATTTGCTTTTCTTCTCCCTGATTCTGTTTTCTAAATGCCAGGTGGCTTTGGGATGGTGTTGAGTAATATCATCTACACCTTTTGAGCTTGTGAGTGCAGTGTCCCATAATAAGAACTTGTGTTGTTATTTCTTTACACTGAGGCAGTTTTTCAATGTCTATTTCTTTCCTTTCATGACCCCTTCTTTTTCTTTTATTTTTCTTTTTGCTTGGCCTCAGCTTACAAGTTAGCTTTTTGCAGTTAAAATGTTGTTCTCATTGAAACCTGAGCTGGTTTATTTAGGCAAAATCCATGGTAAGAAAGAGGATCGATACAGAGCGTTGGGCTGGTGTGGAGACTCCGAATGTTCTCAAAGCAGACATTCTCAACCTTTAATCTAACTCCCCAGTACTCAGACAGAAATTCTGGTGGAAAGCTTTATTCATAAATTGGTCTCCAGAGGGCTAGCAGAGTATATTCAAGAATGCAGAACACATTGCTATATTTATACAGCATATGTCCTGTACAATATTTGTCATGTGTGTTTACAGTTATTTACTTATATTTCCTTTAAGGTTGTCAGCAGTGTGTCCGGTGCGTGGGAGGGTTTTGCTTCTCAATTCTTCCTTTCGGAGTACTTTGCTGAAAATAAAATCAGCTCTCAGCAGAAGGTTCGGCATGGGCAAATACTCCTTTTAGGCCACTGTAGGTGATCAGATGGCAAAGCAGGGTGAGGGTGTGAATTAGAGAGGGGAGTGTGAAGATTGATGTCACCAGGGCTCGGGGCCTGGAGCTCAGGCTGATATTGCTACCTTCTACCTAAGAACAGCTAATATCCACAGGGGAATGACTGTGTGCCAGGCTGTGTGGTAGTATCGTGAATTTCTGTTGTTATCCCCCATTATACAGATGGGGAAACAAAACGTTTGTCAAGCAACTAGACCGAGGTCATAAAGTTAGTATATGGCAGAAATGGAGTTTGATTCCAGGTTCTAGGCCTTCTTAAACACTTCACTATAATGCCTACACATTTAAAAATTTTTTTTTTCCAATTTATTTCTCATTTTTAAAATGAGGATGATAAACACTTATATCAAATTCTGGGAAGATTCATAATTATTTTTTAAATTTAAAGAAATCCCCACAATTGCCTTTTCATTCATAAAGACAGGCCCCGTTAATTAATATCTGGTTGAGCAAAATCCAAGCATGTAACTAACCCTCCTTTTGTTGGATTCTGAAACTTCTTTGAAAAATAAAGTAAGTGAGAAACACTTTGTTCAAAGAAACACAAAGAAAGAGCAGAGGGTTTTTAGCTGAGAGGAAAAATTGCATTTCATGAACGTATAGACCATTGCTTTGAAGTTATTTTTATCCAACTACAAGGGTACTTCAAAAAGTTCATGGAAAATTTTGTATTATCTTTCAATTCTATTTTTCCACGAATATTTTGAAGCAGACTCATGCCTATTGGAGGATTTTTTAACCTCAGCTTCGTTTTTCAAATTCTGATACGCTTTCCTTCAAATTTGCTGAGGGACAAATTAGAACTGGTTAACAGGCAAGCAGGTGTCTTATCTTGTGTCTTACTTCCTCCTTTGCCACTCTTTCAAGTCACCTGACCAGGCTGAACAGGCACACTTATCAAGGATTCATATATAAGCAGATATTCTGAAGGCTGAAAAGGAAAGGTAACTGTGAGCCATGGGGATAATTTGCAGTTTCATCCATTAGGGAAGTTATGGGGGAGTTCAGTTGACTGACTATTGACAATTGCTAAGGAAGCCTGTGGGAGGCTTTTCTTTCTCTATTTGCAGAAATAAATATTACTGCCTAATTAAGTGTCAGGCAGCACATTGAAACACTCCTGTTTGATACTGGCGGGTTCCTGTGGGAACAGTCCCCTTTAGGAATATTGATTTCTCCTCCTGCTCCAGGTGCATGCTGCCTTTGGTTAGGCCTGCTCTTGGCTCACTTTGGGGTCTCAAGGGCCTTGCTCAGGAAGCGGCATTGCAGAGAAGCTAATGGGGTGGGCTTTGGCGTCAGACAGACAGGGTTCAAATCCCAGCCCCACCTCCTATTAGCTGTGTGATCTTGGGCAAGTTTATTCATCTATAAAAGAGGAATAATAATCCTGTCTCGTGGCGTTGCAGGTTAAACAAAACAGTAGGTGTAAGGCACTTGGCATGCAGTAAATAGGCAGTGACAGGAAGGAGGATAACATTCGGAGCAGGGGGATCCAGTGTACCGTGAAGCCCTCGGCCTGAAGCACGTTTCTGTAGAGGTGAAAAAGCTCAGATGCTGGGCTAGGAAACCTCTATGCTTCTGAGAGCAGCCAGCCTAAGGCAGCGGAGGCAGGGTATTGGGAGAGTGTTGTGTAGTGGTTAAGACCATGACCTGTGGGGCCAGGCAGCCAGGCTCACAGCCCAGCTCAGCCTGGATTAGCAAGATGACCTTAAGCTGGTTACAAAACCTCTCTAAGCCTGAGAGTGTCTGGAAACAGGATCAGCAATGGCACCTCACTCTTGTGAATATCCGATGAGGTAACCTATATAATCGGAGTTCATGAAATGTAGCCATTATTATTAGAAAGGTATAATGAGCTCCAGGCTTGAGTCCTACTTTATGGATGCTAGTCTACATCTTCCACGGTGCAGCCATGTCAGTGTAGAACACTTTCTTTCTCAAACTGTGTTCATATCTATAGTGTCATCTGTTCCTCACATGATTCCTACAGAGTAAACAGGGCATGTGTTAGGAGCCTGGTTTTTCTTCCGGCTAAGATGTCTCTTCCAAGGCCAAGGCAGCATTAAAGCCTCCAGGCTTCCTGATTGTTCCTCCTGATTCTTACTTCAACTGACCTGAAGTCTCCCACACCTACTAGGGGCTCTCACTGTTAATTAATTGGGAGTCGTGTGCACAGACAATGTGGAAAATTATTGAACAGTCTTGCTTGAGAAATGTACGAATCTATATTCTCCCTAAAATTGGGCTCAGTCCCTGGTCACAGTTCTCTCTTGACACACTTTACATTATTTTATCTCTCACATGTTGAGGTGAGGGCACTGTCTTCAGCCTTTCTCAGAGGAAGGCTGAGATTTTTTTTTTCTCCAGCCTTAGGAAATCAAAAATTTTCATCATCAGGATTATTTTGTTGTCTGCCGTACAGCAATTTTGCCTTCACCAGAGATATATGTGTATTTTCAGATTTTATAAGCTACATGGGATTTACTCATGCTATAGAAACTCTAAGCCCATAAATGTCACCAAATATAAATCATTATAGGCTGGGAGGCATCTCAGTTGTTACAGAAAGAATGCTGGATGAGGAGTAAAAAGGTCTGAGATGTAGTCCCATCTCTGCCACTTTTGGGGCAAGTTCCTTAATCTCCCAGGGTCTCAGTTTACCCAGCTGTAAAATGGGGATAATGAAAGTAATCATCAGAGGTGGTTGTGAGGATTGAACTAAGTGAGGTCTTTTTTTTTTTTTTCCGTCTTTTTGTCTTTGTTCGTGACCGGCAACGGGATCGCAACCCTCGGTGTTGCTTCCGCACCTCGCTCAGCCAGTG